AAACGATTACCTACATCTCATGCAGAGTAAAATATATATTGCTTCTATGTGTTAGGAAAGTAATTACAATCATAAGGGTAAATATTTTCAGGTACTATGCGAACAGGGAAGAGGTTTGGAAATCTTACTTCATGTTGGCAAGCTTTCCAACTATTCGCTTTAACAATATTCTCGAATAAATACCCCACACCTCTGCTGGATACCTGGGCAGACGCATCAGTTATTAGCTGAGCACATGCAGTCTCGCATTCAAAAAAATAAAAATAAAAATAAAAAGGAAAAAAAGCCTCTCTCCAAATGTACCAAATTGTGATGGTGTATTTCTGATAACCCACCACATTTCTTATCTTCTTATATGAATTACTATCATTCGTGTGAGGAAAAAAAAAAGAAAGAAGATGCACCATCTACAAAAATGTACTGCAATGTATATCTTAATAAAAACCTTGGGGCAGATAGTGAAATGTAAGTACTATCAAAGGAAATAAATTTGACGCACCGGATGGACAGACATGTAACTGAATTGTGTTACACACAGAAACACAACCCAGACACAACTCAGCAACTCTGCTTCTGCTAATTAACATCTTAGTCTTGTTCGAAAAGATAGAAAATAAAGGGGGGGAGGAGGAAAACAAACAAACAAACAAAAAAGCTAAACTAAAGGGCCTGTAGGGTTGTTGCTGTTCCGTTTAAAAGACTAAACGCCCTTTTCCAACATGATCTACAGAAGCTGACACTTAAATGGCAAGAGAGCAAGCTCTCAGAGCAGGCACGCTGGTGTCGAGGTTTCTGCAGTTCGCTCTCCCGAGGGAAAAATAGTCAGTCCGGGTTTTTTGGGTGATCCTCACCAGGGTTTGCAGCTCGCCAGCCTGACCTGTCAAGCGGATTATTTTAGAGGGAGATTAATAGGGGAGGCGGGCTGCAATAATAATCGTTTTGTTTGATGTGACAACTTTGATAGGCGTTGATTTACTTACAAACTGATAGGCTTTTAATTGAGCGCCTCCATCCAGCTTGAGATGAAAGGAAAACCGCATTGAAAAGCTGCCCGAGTGCCCTCGAGCCTCAATACTGATTAGCCATCTCGACAGTGAATAGTTCAAGGCATTTTCAAACTTTTTTTCCTCTCTCGCTCTCGCTCTCGCTCTCCTCCTCAAATATCTGCCAGCCCACTCCTTTTTAAGAGAAAATAAATCATTTCCATTGTGTGCAAATAAAATCGACTTGACATGCTTGCCAATAGCTGGTAGGTAAAGGAAAGTGTGGACTGGCACTTGTTAATTAATTCCTCCTTTGCTCTCCTTTTTTTTTTTTTTTTTTAAAGTTACAATTTTCCTTTGTAAAAAGAGGAAGACGGGTTCCAACCCTTGGATTTTTTTTTCAAAGGAATAAAAGCAACAGCCACCAAAACTTCAACAAGACTACACAAGTAAATGCCAAACAGCAAACCGTCTGCACGGACTCATTAAACAAGAATCCCTCGAGAAGGTAACGAGCAGGACAGAATCGCTCTTCTTCGGCTCAAGAGAGGAAAGGAGCCCGCAGCAGGCAAATCACAAACTCCGCACCGCTTTCAAGCTGCAGCCCCGCCGCCCGCCCGATCCTACGCGTGTGCATCCTAACTCCGAGCCCCTCGCTGGGAATCGTTTTCTGCGTGTGTTAAGCGCAGTGAATAAGCTCTCATAGCTCAAAAATGCTTTGGAGGGCGCAAAGGGGAGGAGATGTCTTGGGGCTGATTTTTTTACAAGGTTCTACATAAAAAAAGTTTACAGTACTGAGTGAGATTTAAATCTCATTTCAAAGGCTGAGGGGAGAGAAAAAAAAATGAAAAAGAGAAGCAAATGAAAAAGCTGTCCTCTGAAGTTGCTAATTAAATTACCCTCTGATGCTTCTACTTCAGCCAGAAAGATCGGGGTTCGTTCTGTTCCCCCCGCTCCGTCCCCCGCTTTTCCCGTCGGTGCGCTGCCTGTTTTATACAAGTACCGGCTATCGCCTCTGCTTCCTTGGCTTACAAGTAAAACAACCCTTCCCGAAATCACCCTCACCTCCACAAGAAAAAAAAAGAGGGAAGGAAAAATGGGGAGGGAGAGCCTTCCCACAGCTGACTCTACCTTAAGACAATTAATCTTTAGTCTTTCACCCTGGGAGGCAGGATAAATACAACGAGAAAACAGATAGGAGTCTCCCCGGTCCTGTAAGGAAAACAGCTGTTCCAAGCACTTTAATGCAAATGAACACAAATGAAGGTTTCAGCTTTTTTTTTTTTTTTCTTCCAGAGTTTTACTGCACTCCATTTATCAATTGGACTTGACAACAAAAGAAAGAACTGGGGGAAAACCTGGGGCAGATTCAAGTCACTTCCACTCTAGATAAAGGAGGGGGGCCGGGGGGGGAGTTCCTTGAGGGCAAGTTGTGGGTCTTGTCAGTCCTATTGCAATATCGTGGGTTTTATGCAAGATTTCTTTCTCTACCTCCTCTCCCCTGCCTTTTAATTTTGATGGTCCTGCAAGATGACCGCGGTGATTGCAAAATGAAAGTACGTTTTAAAGATTCTCCACTGAGAAGTTGTGCCAATAAACCTTATCTTTCAGAGAAAAGATAGAAATTTAAAAGTTTGTTAAAATTAATCGCATCTTTATTAAAGCTAGAGGAGTTCCGTGTATTTATCCTACTCTATACACTGTAGTAAAAGAGTAAAGTGGTTTAAATAAAATACAGCAGATATACTCACTGCGCTGCAAGATTTAAAGGGTACCTCTTGGCGGGGGAAGGGGGGGGTACCGAGCAAACCTGCCTTGCATATACCTCGTAAGAAGAACAGGTCATTAAAGACTATCTGACATATCTGTTTAGGGACTAGGGCAGACCGGTGTTTCAAGCGAAGAAAAAGGACTGGGTTCAGCAAATCTAAACGTGAGAAAGTGAAAGTCCTTCCTCTCGTCCAACCCTTCCAGGATCAGCGCCTGTTCTGGTTGGAGTCCAGGTCAGGAATTGGACGCGACCCCTAAAGCACTTGCCTTGTTCTTCACTTGTCAAACGTGTTTTATCTCTAAGTGACCTTTTTGTTAATGTTGTAGATTGTGTGGGCCACCATGTCAGATCCGGAAACAAAAGTAAAAGATTGATTAACACATTTTGCCTGTGAAAAAATGTTATGGGATGAGGAGGTGGGGGGATAGTGGGAAGCAAAGTACAAAGAGAAAAGAAAAAGGCAACCCAGCGACTTGAAGGGCTGCGGATTCCGCTCGGGGCATCCGCCGGCCCCGGTAAAAACGGGGCTGAGGGCAGAGGACTCGGTACCCTTCGGGAGCGCACAGACACAAAGCAGGACGAATGTAACGCCCGGGTGGACACCGTGACCGTACCCAGACGGCTCTCAACACAGCCTAGCTGAAAATCCAGCACATAAATGGCGAACCAGTACTCTCGTTGGGGCGAGGGGCCGCCTCCCCAGGCCCCCGCTGCCGGGGACCGGTTCAGTCCGGCGGGTGCAGGGACGAAGGACACTTTCGAATAGGACGAAGAGGGAAGGGGAAGAAGAGTCCAGCAGCCCTCCCCGACAGGGCAGTGAGGGGCTGGGGAGGGCTACCGGTTGCTGGCAAACAAATCCAATCTACTCCAAGGATTTATTCCGTAAATTAAAAGGCTTTTTCTCCCGAGGAGCCCGTCTCTCCCTCTGTTTTCTTTCCTTCTTCCTCCCTCTCCCTCTCTCTCTCCTTCCCCCTTCAAGTCACACCAGGCTTGTAATCAGCAACAAAAGCTGACATAAATCAAGGGCGGATTGACAGGGGCTGACAAATAACTGATTGATTGCGGTTGGGGAGCACTGACAATTGACGGCGGGGCGGAGAGTCCCGAAAGGCGGCGGCGGGCTGTGCGTGACAGCCCCGCGTGTGACGACCTCCCCCAATCCCGCCGCGCTCCCCGCGCCGCCGCAAGCCGCGCCGCAGCGCCCCGGCTCCCGCCCGCTGCCGCCGGCGACGTGCAGGCCGGCGCTCTGCAGGTTCTCGTCCGGGCCTCCCCCGCGCTGTCAGGCGGGAGGGGCGGGAAAAGCGCCCCGCGCCCTTCCGCGGATCCCGGAGGGGACACGGCGCGGCGGCGGCCCCGGAGCGGTCCCGGCGGGCCGGCCTCGGGGCGGGGGGCGCGGGCCGGGCCCGTTCGCGCCGTGCGTGGCGGGCGGCAGGCCGTGCTCGGGGCGGTGTGCGAGCGGCGGGGGCGGGCGGGGGGAGGGAGGGCGGCGGAGGCCGCGGCCGCCCCCCGGCAGGCGCGGCGCCCCCAGCCCCGCGGCCGCCCCGCCGCTGCCGCGCGATCCGCGCTGGCTGCGGAGGAAGAAAAACGTTCGCAGCGCGTGATGTGAAACACAGAATTAACGCCCATCCCATCCTAGGAGCGAAAACAAGGAAGGAGGGGAGGGGAGAGGGAAGGCGGACGAGAAAGGGAAGGAAAAAAAAAAAAAAAAAGGAGCGAGAGACCATTAAAAACGGAGAAAAAAAAAGCCCAGAAAAGGGAACGTCACATCCCCTTGACCCTCCAATCACCTCGGGGTCCCATTTGATTGGAAGGCGGTAAAGGCTTTAATCTCAGACTAATTCAGCTGCTTTTGAAGTGAGTTTCTTTGCCAGATCCCGGGCTGGATGGGCAGCGGCTCGCATCACAGCTGAGCGGCGGAGGCGAGCGCTCCGCGCCGCGCCAGCCGGGGGAGCTGAGAGCGGCCGAGGGGGACCGCGGCACACGCTCGCAGCCCCCACCCCCGCCCCCAGCACAGCCCAAGGATTACTCGGCTTTTTTTCCTCCTCTTTCTCTCCGGCCGGCTCCCCCTTTCCCTCCCCCTCCCCACCCACGCCCTCCCCGCCAGAGAGAGCCACGGGACATTGTATGTTTGTTTTTCTGCTCGGGGGGCGTGTGGCTTTTTTCCTTTCTCGCCCGCAGAAAGCGAGCGAGCGTTTCCGAGTGCGAGCGGCGCCACTTGCCCCAGTTTTCATGCGAGGTTTTGGGTCATGATCACATCGCCCTCGCTTTCTGCTATAAGAAGTAGTAAGCGCAGCAGCAGCCTCAGCGAGCCCGGAGGCAGCCCCCGCCGCAGCCGCAGCGCCGCCGACCTCGCCGGGCCGAACGGGCACGCTGGGAATAACGGCAGCAGCGCCGCCGCCAAGCCCTGCTTCCACGCCGTCCCCCCCTCGGACCCGCTACGCCAAGCCAACCGCCTTCCCATCAAAGTCTTGAAAATGCTCACGGCGCGGACTGGACACATTTTACACCCTGAATACCTGCAGCCTTTACCCTCCACGCCCGTCAGCCCCATCGAGGTAAGGACCCGGCCCCCGTCGCTTTCCTCGTCCCTGCCCGGGCGCTGGCTGTGCATGGCGGCTCCGCCAGCCGCCCTCGGCACTTTCCTGCGCTTTGAAATGCATTTATACCGGGACAGGGGCTTCTTTTGATCTCGAGTTAGTGCGAGGAGCCACTCCTGGGTATTGTTTCCGTGTTTACCGGGATAATGTCTAGTTCCTGTGTAAAATTAGTATTTTCTTTTTTGCTATTTTGAGCTTTTTTTTTTTTTTTCTCTGCTTTTTGAGAGGAGGGGTGGGTGGAAAGAACCGATCCACGCTGGGGTCGCGATCCGGCCACGCAAATAAGCAGCGCTCCGAGAGCCAAACAACCTTGCTTTTGCAGGGAGTGTGTTGGGGTGGGGGGGGACACACACGGGACGGGACGACACAACGCGGAGAGCGACAGGCTCAAACGTGGGTGCGGCAGAATAACTATTTCGGCTCGCCGACCGATTCCTTTCAAGTACCGACACGGATCTGTACTTCGGGGCGCCTGTTGGTCCCCTTTCTGCTCTGTCGAGGTTGCTGGTCCCCCTCTGCCTAGCTCGCTGTTTGCGGGACCGAAACTCGAAACAGAGCTGGTGGTGGGAAGGGTGTGTCCGTGGGAATGAATGATTTCATTAAGGTCTCTGCGGAGCGAGGACACTCTACTCCCGGGGAGCCCTGCTCGCCGGCTAGGTCGGGCTCTGTTTATAAATAGTGCCAGCAGTCAGGGTGCAGAAATGCTGCAGTCGCTATAGTTCACGGGCGGGATTGCGGGCCAGCACGGCCCGAGCGACGCCGAGACGCCGAGCTCCGCGCTGCCCGGGCCGCTGCCGGGGAGGCTGGGGGCATTGAAGGTGGCCGCGGCGAGCTCGCGGGGATACGAAAATCCCCAGCCCTTTTTAAAGGCTTTATGGAAAATGGTGCATTCAAGGGAGGGGGCTGTCAAGTTGATGAATGCGCACAAACTGTTCGTTACTTCCAGGCTGTACTCTGCAGAAACCTACGGGACAAGAGTCCTATGTAAGCAGCGGGGGTTTTCTCAGACCCCGATTAAATCTCTTTCTTTGTATGTCCTTCTGATTTCCGCAGCTGGATGCAAAGAAGAGCCCCCTGGCCCTTTTGGCACAAACTTGCTCGCAGATAGGGAAGCCGGACCCGTCCCCTTCCTCCAAACTCTCCACGGTCACCTCCAATGGCTCCGGAGGCGACAAGGACTCCAAGTCGGGCCCCTTGAAGCTCAGCGATATCGGCGTGGAGGACAAATCGAGCTTCAAGCCGTACTCCAAGCCGGGCGCGGAGAAGAAGGAGCCGGGGGCGGCGGGCTGCGCGGGCGCCCCCGCCGCGGGGGTCGCGGCCGGGGAGAAGTCGGGATTCCGGGTGCCGAGCGCCACCTGCCAGCCGTTCACCCCAAGGACAGGCAGCCCCAACTCCAGCGCCTCCGCCTGCTCGCCCGGGCTGCTGCCGGCCGAGGGCAAAGGCGGGGAGGACAAGAAGGACTCGGAGGGCTGCGGAAAGAGCGGCAGCTCCGGCTCGGAGGGAGGCCCGGGCACCACCAGCATCAGCCACAGCCGGATTAGCGTGAGCTGTGCCGGGATTAACGTGGAGGTCAACCAGCACCAGGAGAGCACGCCGGGCTCCAAGCCCATCGCATCGGACTCCGCCTCCTCCTGCAGCAGTACCACCGCCACCTCCTCCACCTCCGTTCTGGGCTCCGGCCTCGTGGCCCCCGTCTCCCCTTACAAGCCGGGCCAGACCGTTTTCCCCTTGCCCCCGGCGGGCATGAGCTACCCGGGGACGCTGGCTGGAGCCTACGCCGGCTACCCGCCACAGTTCCTGCCGCACGGAGTGGCTCTGGACCCCACCAAATCCTCCAGCCTGGTGGGAGCCCAGCTGGCCGCCGCCAGCAGCCTGGGCTGCAGCAAGCCGGCGGGGTCGAGCCCGCTGGCGGGCGCGTCGCCGCCGTCGGTGATGACGGCGAGCCTGTGCCGAGACCCGTACTGCCTGAGCTACCACTGCGCCAGCCACCTGGCAGGCGCCGCCGGAGCCTCCTGCGCCCACGACCAAGCCCTCAAGTCCGGATACCCCCTCGTCTACCCCACCCACCCTTTGCACAGCGTCCACTCCTCGCTGACCGGCGCCACGCCGCCTTCGCTAGCCGGCCACCCTTTGTACCCCTACGGCTTCATGCTCCCCAACGACCCCCAGCCACACATCTGCAACTGGGTGTCGGCCAACGGACCCTGCGACAAGCGCTTTGCCACCTCGGAGGAGCTGCTTAGCCACTTGCGGACCCATACTGCCTTCCCGGGCACCGATAAACTCCTCTCCAGCTACCCCAGCTCCTCGTCGCTGGCCAGCGCAGCGGCTGCGGCCATGGCGTGCCACATGCACATCCCCACGACGGGCGCCCCGGGCAGCCCGGGCACGCTGGCCTTGCGCAGCCCGCACCACGCGCTGGGACTCGGCAGCCGCTACCACCCGTACTCCAAGAGCCCCCTGCCCACCCCCGGGGCCCCCGTGCCCGTGCCCGCTGCCACCGGACCCTACTACTCCCCTTACGCACTCTATGGGCAGAGACTCACCACAGCCTCGGCCCTGGGGTACCAGTGAGTGCAGGCAGCGGGGCTCTGACACACAACACAAAGTCTAGCGGTAAGGGAAGGAAGCCCTGCAAAACTTTATAAAAGTTGAAAAGAAAAAAAAACTGACTTTTTATAAAATAGTGTTCATTTGAGGACTGGATCCATGAGCACTGTATTTATTTATGTTAGCTTCAAGCGGGACAACGAATCATAAAGTGCATTACTAAACTGAGCTCAATAGGTAAAAGTGGAACACCCATTGTAGAATATAAATAAAAAGATAGAGGTCTTCTCTTTAATGTTACTTTAAAATTGCTATGATTGTATTGTACGTTCTTATTTAATGTCTCATTGAAACAAAAAAATTTACATGCATGTTTGTTACTAAAAACAACTCGCAATTTGTCAGTTATAATTTCAAATTGCAATTATTTTTAAGGTGTATACCCTTGAAAGAGAATTGGTATTTTTTTGTATGTATTCTGGAAGAAAAAACAAAAACAATTCTATTCCAAAAACCTCATTTGCCTTATTTTGTTCTTTAAAAGGAACACTTAACTATTTTTAATTTTTAAGTCCACCCTGTAAAAAGGGTTAAGTAAGGTTTACGTCATGTACTAAAATAGACAATGTATCGCTTTAAAGATTAAAATTCCGTATATTTGATGTATTAAAAGGTTTTACTTTTTTTTTTTTTAAATACGCTTTGATTCTGTTATAAAACCCGAGTAGGTCTTGGATGGAGGTGACTGCTAATTTCTCCTTAAGCGTTTATTCAATTTTAATTAAAAATTAAAAAAAAAAAACCAAAGTTTTTTTTTTATTGTAACCCCAGGGCTCTCTTAAAAAATAATCAGACACAGTTGGTTTTTTTCCTCGTCAGTAGAATTTTCTGGCACGAAATAAGAAAGCTGAGAATCGCTTAAATCTCTTTCCCTGTCTTTAAAGAAGGTAAACTTATATTTTAAATGTTTTTACTGTGAAATATCTGGTTTTTAAAACTACTTTTCAACTAGAAGACTTCGTTCTTTCTTTAGAAAGAAACGGGGAAGGCAAGACTGTTTTGTAAAAGTGTAAGATGATTATCCGAAAGCTTTTTTTTTTAGCAATGTAATGCATACCTATTCATCTCTTTCTAAATGAGAAGTTCAGAAGTAATTAGGGAAGCGCTGTTTGAGCTCATCCAGTTATTTTAAATTTCTCTCTTCAGTTCGCACCGCAGCACAAAAGATCGTCACGTAAAAAAAAAAACCAAAAAAACGGACAGCTCTGAAAACTCATTTTCTTTTAAAAAGGAAGGGACGGGGAAAAAAAAGAAGCCATCCGTTATTTGGGCCGAGTTTGCTCTTTACTGAAGTGCAGTGCCAAACTTGACGTGATCCCGAGAGGGGCTGCCCCTGCCTGCACCGCGCCTCTGCCTCCCCAGCCCGGGTTTCCTCCTGGCGCCCCAGGGCCACCGCCCAGCTCCGGCTCGTCGTCCTGCGTTCAGGTAGGAGCGGGGGCTGCGGCAGAACAGCCAGAGCAGCTGCCGAAACTGCGCAACAAACCGGTGCCGCCGACATAGTCGGAAAAGCGATACCCAAGTCCGTAAGGGCAATGCCAGCGAGGGGCTTTGCCCCGCGCTCTGCCAGGCGCTCGCAGCAGCGGCCCAGGCGGAGCCGAGTACCTGCTGCCCCTCGCTCGGCCCCAGCGCGACGCAGTGGCGGGGGGCAAAGTTACAAGCGGCGACTTTGCTTGACAAATCACCGGGTTTTCTCCCTCGTTCTGGATTCCCCCTACAATATAATTACTGTTCAGAGTTTCCCGTGGTGCTCAGATGCTAATTAGTCGAATACATTTACTTCAGATAATTAGTGGAAGTTAGCGTTAATGTGCAAAGGCGAGAAAAGCAGCGAGCTCCTGAAGCTGCAGCGGCCGCCCGGCCGTCCCGGCACGGCTCCCCGGGCCAGGCCCGCGGCGGGGGCCGGGACACACGCGGGGAGGCCGGGGCTGGGCCGCGCTGCGGCTCTTTCGGGACGCTGTCCGAAAGCGGCACGGGAAATGCTTTGCGGTTTAACCAAACGTGTTACCCCCCAGCCGCCTTAAATGGGAAAGGGACCTTTGCGTATCTCTGCTTTAGGAAATGTAAAACGGGCTCTCGTTCTGTACCGATGAGTTAGAGAAAGGGAGGAGAGGGCAATGCTGTTAACTGCCCCCAGTAAACTTTAGTTATAAAATAAGAAGCCGATACAAACACAGAAAGTAATCGAAAGACGGGCTTCTCGGGTCGGGGGTGATGGTGGCGGAGGATCCGGCGAGCCCGAGAAAGGCAGAACAAGCTCGCAGTCCTCTCTGTATGCCGCACGCCCCCCGCTCTCTCCTGCAGCCCGGCCAGACTGCCTTCCCCGCTTTGCTATTTTAACTACTCTTAATTTGAGGAAAATTACATTTCAGGCTCCATCTGGGTGTGCAAGCAACAATTACAGTTTCGCCGCGATTAAAACACCACTATTGCCATGTTCCTCTCCTGTTCGTGTGTTTTACAATTACGGATCTTGAACAGCTGCAGCTCAGACTTCGCTAACCAAATCCCATCGCCCATCAGGTGTTGCAGGGGTGATTTAAAAAGGGCGAGGGAAGCATTTGTGTCCTGGAACCCTAACTACAGTTTTGGGGATTTCAGCTCTGAAAGGTTACACACAAAGATTGCTGATGCAAGTGGTGAAATGAACACTTAATGCTATTATTACTGTTTTGCTCAGATACTGTCCCCGAGGTTAAAGAAAAATTAAAACACCTTATTTTATATGTAGAGTGGTGATAAGTAGGTCTCTCTTCCAGCCTTGTTAAGTATATGACCTGGCAAGTGCCACCTAGGATTTGGATATTAATCTATTAAATTCGCCTTTTTTTCTAACAGAGATTGACTTATGGACATTAATGTTTTTAGGTAAAAGGACTACATTTGTTATTCCTCACCACCCCACCCCCCCACCTCCCGTTCTTACTAACTGGATGGGTTGTGGATTTGACAGCAGCCGCTGGTCCATGCCACCGAACTAAAATAATTTCACAGTGAAAAACCAGCTTGAGAGGACAAGCAACAGAAGGGCAAAACCCATCAAAACCCGAAACTGTGATCAATCTGACCAGAGTCAGGCATACATTAGTTTAAATTAAACAGTTTTGTCTTTCTCACAAATCTTTTTTGAACATTAAAGATAGAATCATGTAATATTTAAATCAACTCTTGTCAGATGCTAAGTGCAACTGAAGAACCAAAATAAAAATTAATGCGTTTCCATCCACTCTCAAAAGCTTACTTTGGATGCCACTTCGACAAAATACTTCTGATAAGCAACGGTTAGAAAAGAAGGGTCCTGTTTATCTTATCTACGGGGAAATGTAATTAAGGTAGTTTTATGAAACAATAAAACACCAGACTCCACAGACAGCAAAGGAGTCTCTGTAATATATCTGAGACTAGATGGGCATATGTATCTTGGCTTATGTGCACAAGCCCACACCAAACACACACATATACATATGCTCGCCTGGTTTTGGAATGCAAAATGTATGCTAGAACTAAAATACAAGGATGCCTTTATTACGGGAAGATTTTCCTCAGTGATAAGAGACTCCATTTGCTAAGACCGGAAAGTCACCCACTGCCCATTCACCACCTTTGGAGCCACCCTCAGCGCAGCCAGCAAGGTACACGCAGTGCTGGGGCTGGGGCTGACCCTCCTCTCTCTGACCCGAGGTTAGTAATGATCTACCCACATCTACAGTCGAAATCACTCAGGCAAAGGGAATCCCGAAAGATCCAAACTTTCTGAAACAAAAGTAAGTGTGCATTCCTATTCTGTAAAAACATTGATCAAACTTCATTCTTTCATACTTAGAAAAGATGGAGAGCACTGCTGATTTAATACTGTTGGCTCTGATGTAGGCTTTCGGTAGACCACAGTTTAGAGATTTTTGGTGGTCTTTTTTTTTTTTTTAATTGTGTGTGTTTTCTTTTGTTGTTTTTTGGGTTTTTTTGTTTGGTTGGTTTTTGGTTTTGCTTTTTTTTTTTTTTTTTTTTATTTTGAAGGAACAATTCTGAAGTAGAAAATTGCTGGAGCTACCAGCACCAAATTTCCTTTTCATAAAGATTTTTGGGTATAATTTCGGACATTTGTAATGCCATGTTGAGATACCCCACCACCCCTGATTCTTTCTGCACCATGAAGCACAGCTAGCACTGCTTCATGAGCAGACCTGAGGCAGGCAAGCAACCAGTTCTGATCAGAGGTGTCTAATCCCTGCTAAATCTCTTTCTCAGCTCACTCCTGGAAAATTCGGGGCAGTCTACCTTTTGTTTTTTTAAGGTAAAATTTTGTTGCGATGAAGCACAGAGATGTCAGAAGAAAAAAGACGGACCCCAGGTCTGTATGCTCTCACCTCTTCGGAGGCGGAATGCTTTGGCAGCAGAGACGTGGTTGAAATTTGAGCAGATTATACATTTGAGCTTGTGCATAAATGCGAAAAGACTGTCCTAATGCTGGATATTTCTCCATCAACATCAACCAGGTGCTGCTGTTGCAAAAATCTCACCTCCGACTGCTTGCTCTGTGCGTGTGTGCACGCACAGCGATGCACAGACTTTGTTCTCTCTTCATGTCTGAAATTCATCAACTACCCACCCCCGTTCCCAGCCCCACGTCCCCTACGTGAAAAAAAAAAAAAAAAAAAAAAAGTGAATCTGTTCAGGCTTTGAATATTGTGTAAGAAGCCTTGTGTGTGTATTTTTTTTTAATCTTCAAATGAATTAAAGACAACCTGACAATGCTGTCATCTGTCTTCAACGTCACATCAAGGCAAGAAATAATGATAACAGAGCAGCAGAAGGACGCCCACTGAAACCTGGAGGATATATATACACATATATATACACACACACATATATGCCTTGAAACAGTTTGAAAGAGAACAAAATTAGATTACCGCTCTTAGGCTATCACGGTAAAAACGTGTGGGATTTTGCGTGCGTGTGTGTGTGTGTGTGTGAGTGGCTCATCTTTCCTGCCTTATTTTGTGAAGCGCGTGCTACTCGATCCAAACCACTTCTGTGGGATGGGACAAGAAGACGAGCAGGCACATTCCTCGTTCCCAAACTACCACGACCAAAGGAAGCACCAAAATATCCCCCCTCCCCCTCCACCGTTTCAGGTTCACGTTCCAGTTAATAACAAACATTACTGCTCTCCCGAGGCGCAGGCCAGAGCGGGCACGCTTTACGCGGAGGCCCGGGCGTGCACGTCACGCGCAGCTGCCCGGTGGAAGAGGGGCTGCTCCCGGGGAGGAAGAAGAGCGAGGAGCGGCTCCCGGGGAGGAAGAAGAGCGAGGAGCGGCTCCCCGGGAGGAGGAGGAAGAGCGAGGAGCGGCTCCCTTTGTCTGCGCGGGCCGCGGGCCGGTGCCGCTCCCGGCCGCCAGGCGGCGCTGCGGCCCCCGGCGGAGCGCAGGGCAGCGGCCGCAGCCGGGCCGGGCCGGGCCGGGCCCCGACGGAGCCCGCGTGCTCGGGCACCGGGAATCGCCCGCAGTCCCGAAGGGCAGCATGGCACTACAAACGGTCTGCCCAGATAAAAACAGACAGCCCGGACCGAAAAAAAACCCCCAAAACACACACACACAAAAACTCCCCTCAAAAACAAA